GCATCCCTCCTCAGGGTTTGTGCACATAGACCAAGCCCTGAATTGATCTAACTCTGCAAGTCAAGCTGGCACCAGTATTCACGTCTTGAGTCATGTATCTTAAACAGTTCCTGTACCTGGAACAAGCAAAGCATTCACTCCTATTTTGTGCAGTTTCATGTAGAGATTATTATACAGCAATATCAGCATTTCCTCCATCGTCAGCATTTGACATTTATCCTATAGTTTATTCTACACCTACACAGCTAGCTAAACTACTCAGCTGACTGCCACTTGACACTCAGTAACAACTATAAGTTCTTGGCAACTCAGACAATCCTATACTGCAACGCCACCAACAAGAGCGTCTTAAGAGCCACACGCAATGCAAGCATGGCAGAAATAGAGAAATCACAAAAAACCATATCATTTGCATTAAAATTTCATAGTAATCTTCATAAGCACCTCTACTATCATGCATATACAATGGTACAGCTAAGACAAACTAAAGTTTCTAAACATGAGACTACTAAGCTGATTCAGATTGGGGAAAAACATGGATTGATTAAAACACCCAAAGCCTGCACACATCTCAGCGTGGGCACACCTGAACAAGCAGATGCAGTGACATAATTGCCAGTATGAACTTAAGTAGTGGACTTTTAGCTGTTACTTTAAGAAGATATTCTTCAATAAAGTGCTATTTTGAGTTTTCTTACACTGTGAAATTCACCTTGAGGAAAACACCTATATAATCACCTTCTTCCTAGAAGAAAATGTTTATCTCTGTTTAAACCCTTCTCCAAGTTGCTATTGAGAAGTCTTTTACTGTTTTGTTTATGGTAATATATTGACACAGCTGGGATTTGGTTTCCAGAGTACCCCCAAGAAAAACAGCTGATTAAAGTTCACAATAATCATAGCTCTAGCAGGTCAGAAAAACCTCTATTGCAATTCATGCTTTCCTGCTTGCTTTGGCATCACCAACAGAAAGCCTTTAAATCATCTTCTTTCATATTCTACTATTTTTTGTTCCCAAACAGAAATCTGCCTCTAACTAGGTAGTCTTCACAGTTACTTTCACCAATGACTAAAATCTTCATTTTCAGCCTGAAATGTTGTGAATTAGATATGAAACCTGCATTATTGCCTTACTGCTAATGGGAGTTGTGTGCTCAATTGACCACACATACCACACTCTAAAAGGTTCCTCTCTATGTAGCTCTCATGCTCTGGTCTTATTTTAAAGACGAATAGGACATACAAAAATATGTGCCACTATCTAAAGGCTTAACAATGATAGGGATTATGTAATGAGGATCATTAAAAAATTCAATACAATTCTTCAGAATGCAAAAAGGAAATAAAAGTTTTATCACAAAATCTTTCTCCTTCTGACTGTGAAGTTTCCATAATATCTGAGAGGGCAGCAACTTCAAATGCAGGATGAAGAGGTAAGAAGGCTTCCCTTAGTCACCTATTTTCCTCAAAAATGTATCTTAGGCTACATGCTACTCAAAACTTAGGAAATAAGCCTAAATAAATTAACGGATAAAGTAGTCAATATACATTTGTAAGCAGCAAGTTGTTTTTCCACATGGTCTACCAGAATTTTAATTAAAACAACAGGAGTCTGAGAAGTGGTAATATTATATACATGATACTTCCTGTACTTGTACTTGATAGAAACCTTTGACTTTTTTTACATCAAAAAGCCAAATAAATCTAGAAAAGCTGAATAATATTAACTCCTTATATGTGGTAAGACACAAATACCATTTTATTCTCCCTATCCTGGTGTCAGTCCCAAGACAATGTAAACTGGATCACAGAAATTAAACTGGGATTAAAAATAACCACTTTGGGGGCTGCGTGTGTTGATGAATGTGAATGAATGAAGATGACTATACCCCCTGACTTTAGAACAACACTAATTCTTAGCAATACAACATGAAAATGCAGTATTTATCAAGGACTGAACAACACCCAAACATTATCCCTGATACAACTTCACTACTTCTGGTATATATACAACCATAGTAAACTGCACAGAGCTTACCCTGGAGACAACTATCTTTTTTTTAAGAAGTTACTGCAATTCTTATCTTTTGCAATCCAAGGACTATTTAAAGTTAGGCCTTCAGGGAAGAGTCAGTGATTTGATTTTCTAAATCACCTTAGTCTGATAAAAACAAGGCAAATTAGTGTGTTTTCAGGTGCAACAAAGACAAATTGCAAAGGTCTACAATCTCAGGGCTTCCTGATCCCAAAGTAGGCAAGGAAAAAAGAGGCTTTGGCTGCACACATTCTTCCAGAAGCTCAGATGAGGGATATTATAACCTCTTCCATGACAGTGATCACAGTCCCCATTGCTTTAGTCCCTAAAGTTCTGGTCAAATGCCTGCTTCCTCCAGGAAGGGCAAGAGCATTATCCATAAAGAAGCTTCAATATATCCCCATGGATCAGTACTGATTTCACTACTGTCATTTGCCACATCTGCTTTCAAGGCTCTTGTAGCACAAAGAGCAATTCAGTGTCACCATGTGGAAGATGGAAGAACCTCACTCCTCCCACAAAAGTGGCTCAAGTTTAGTAGCAGTGATGAAGGCCTAGGTCTGAAACAGAATACTTTTACTTCTAGTTGCTCACTGAAATCAACATATTGATGGGAAATTAGAAAACTGAATACTTGACTGAATGTTAGCTCAAGAGGCTGTTCTATATTTGATCTGCAAGTTTAAAATGGCAACAGGCACGCGTTTCCCACAGCTGCAATTCATCAGCACAAACCAGCTGTCATCTCATGCAAAGAAATCAGAAGTCTCTAAGGTGAAACAGAAATGCAATTAGTTTGCATTAAGTTCAGCCTGCTAGAAGTGCAGCGTAACATAAATTACATGTAATTTGAAACTCTAGGTTTAAGAGATTGCTGCAACAACTGTAGACAAATTCAGGATGTAATCTATTTTCTGAACAATTTTCAGAGATTATTCACATACCCAAACATATCTCATTTCTCAGTTGGAAAAGTAAGGAAGACTAAAAAGTCTTTCCATAGATATTTCTTGATTAAAAGTAGCTCTTTTTCATACTGGCATCAGACTAATTTAAAATTTTCTGAAGATGCCTCCCTTTCTAATCATTCATAAATTTTGTACTGATCATCCTAGAATCTCGTTTTTACTTTACTGTGAATGAGGTTACAAGGAAAAGCAAAACTGAGTCTTAGGAAACACACACCCTGTGAAGGGGACAGCCCATAGGGCCAAATTCTACCTTTGTCATCCTGAGAAGCTCCATGCAAGTAACAACAACATGGGATTTTTTTGGAAGTTACCTATAATTCATATTTGTCCAAGTATGTAGAATCATAGAATGGTTTGGGTTGGAAGGGACCTAAAAGATTATCCATTTCCACCCCCCCTGCCAGCAGCGGGGACCCCTTCCACTAGACCAGGTTGCTCAAAGCCTCACCCAGCCTGGCCTTGAACACTTCCAGGGAGGGGGCATCCACAGCTTCTCTGGGCAACCTGTTCCAGTGTCTCACCACTCTCACAGTGAAGAACTTCTTCCTAATATCTAATCTAAACCTACCCTCTTTCAGCTTAAACCCATTTCCCCTTGTTCTGTCAATAACTGCCCTTATGAAAAGTCCTTCCCCAGCTTTCTTACAGGCCCCTTCAGGTACTGGAAGGCTGCTATAAGGTCTCCCTGAAGCCTTCTCTTTTCCAGGCTGACTCTTTTCCTGTCCTCATAGGAGAGGTGCTCCAGGCCCCGGATCATCCTCATGGCCTCCTCTGGACTCGTTCTAACTGGTCCATGTCTTTCTTGTGATGGGGGCTCCAGAACTGGACACAGTACTCCAAGTGGGGCGTTATGAGAGCAGAGTAGAGGGGCAGCATCACCTCCCTCGACCTGCTGGACACGCTTCTCTTGATGCAGCCCAGGATACGGTTGGCCTTCTGGGCTGCAAGCGCACATTACTGGCTCATGTTGAGCTTCTCATCCACCAGTACTCCCAAGTCCTTCTCTTCGGAGCTTGTCTCAAGCCACTCATTACCCAGCCTGTATTTATGTTTGGGATGTGGTTAAATTAAAAGAACTTGTCTTCAATGTAACCAAGATTTAATTTCAGTTGTAAAGCAGGTGCCAGACTGATAAAAGGGGAATTCAAGCCCAGTATTTAGAGAAGATTCAGCATTTTTTTTAAGAGGTTTTTGTTTAGTTTTGGTTTTTTTGGAGGGTGGGTTTTTTGGTGTTGGGGTTTTTTTTTTCCTTTCTTTTTTTCTTTTTCTTCTAAGCTTTCTTGATTAACTCGGGAAAAAAAAAAATAATCTTTCTTAAAGTGAAAAAATGAGACAGAATTGAGAAGCTATCTTCATTTCATTGCTGGTCTCACCACTCAAATTGCTGTCAAGTCTACCAGCTAAATTGGTATTTTACACTGTTCAGCCCCATTGCCTACTAACATCTGGCTGGTGCTCCATTCACATAAATTCCAGCTAACTACTTGCAGATGAAGAAACATCTTTCCATCCAAGGAAAATTTTAGAAAGCTCAGTGGAATCTACTGCCAACCACATCATGTTTTTCAGATTTTGGAAAACTTGCCTACTTAGTTTTATTTAAAAACTTAACTAGAATATATAATAAGTAACGACATTTTAATTATGCACAGTGTAACAGTGATGAGCATTCACAATCAAACACCCAGTTTAAATCATCAGACCTGTCTCCAAACTTGTGGGCACACCTTAACACATGCTACAGCACAGGCACATGCTCTCCCAGGTTCAGGGTTGTACATGAATGTAACTCAGACCCACATGCAAATTGCATGCACTCATTCAAGTCAAGTAGAAGAGCCAATATCCAATTTACATGCAAAAATTAAGTTTCCAGATACACAAAGGCAGACATAAGAAACAGCATGCTAAGTTTGGATGCACAAATTTTAACCAAGTTTCAATCACCGAGCAAATCTTCAACACAGCAGTACCACATTCTAATAGCAAATAAATATAAATTAGTAAAATATTTGAAGGTATTCCCGGGTACCATCTTCAATGAAAAGGATGAACTTTTTATTTTGTCTTTTTTCCCATTTATTCCAACATAATGGTTAAATAATTGTTATAAACCAAAACAAATGAGCAATTGACTCAAGATATTTAAAATTTAAATCCAAATTACACAAACCTGCATTTTGTAACAAGTGTTGATAAATGGGACATTAATATAAAAAGTTTTTTTAATTATTCTTTAACAATTCACTATTGTTCAAATAGCACGGCTGTTTAAAGCCACTGCTAAGAAGATCATGAACATATCACATTTTAATGAGCTACTAAGGGGAAGAGGGGGCAGAAAATGGAAGGTAACACAGTCACTTACACAACAATAAACAAAACCCCTAACTGAAAAGACTAGAATAGTTTTAGCTCAAATATTCATTCCACTGCCTTTTCTTTCTTCTCTTTTTTCCTTTTAAACTGGAACATACTGGTTTATTTTGCAGATGACATTTTATTCTCTTTTTCAGCATATACTGGAAGGTCAGAGACTCTTTAAAATACAGCTGCTTAAAATGGAACTCCGATTCAACCATACCAGCACAAAGACCTCCACTATCATTAAAGAAAAACCCAGACGTACATAGCATACAAATTCGACACATTGTACAGCCACAGCAGAAAACCCTTTTAACATTCAATGTCCAGTTTAACAACCACTGCTATTCTTCAAATACGTTTCCATTACTATTGATCACACTTGAAAATTCATTAAAAGTAGTCCCATTTAAGTCCGGCACTTACCACTACCTAGTCTTAGAAGCAGTACATCCTGGAGTCTCCTGTTCAAGTCTCTGAGCTCTTTCATTTCTGACACGAGTGCCCCATACTCCTTTAGCTTCTTTGCCTGTTGCACAAGCTGTCTCCGCGTTCTCTCAAGCTCCTGTTGAATGTGTCTCATTTCTTCTTGTTGCTGTTGGTAACTCCTCAGTAATTCTTCATACAGAATCCGAGGAACTACAGCATCGTCCATGTTGTTCATGCCTTCCGAAGTCTCCATAAAAGCCTCCTCAGGGCTGGAAGTATTACTGAGACTCATCCCATTCTGTTTTTCAAGGCGAGCAACAACTGCTTCAATGCTTTTGTGTGTACCTTCACTTTGTTTCCTCCCATCTTGTCTCTGCGTGTTACAATAAAAAATAAGTAAGTTAGGAGACCAGGAAGATGTAATAAAATTAAAATTCTACAAGCTTGGGAACTGTTAATATTCTTGTTTTCCAAAAAAAGCAAGACAAAGTCTGCCTCCAAAAATGTTTTCCCTAACAGATTCTTGTTGATATACATCATAACTTCCACGCATGTGTAATTCAGCTAAATGCACATACAAACTTCTCAGGCAGCTCTTAAAGGCCTTTCTTTCTGCTTATATGCAACACTTGCAAGCCCAGTGTATACAGGTCACTTGAGTCTGTATATAAAGAGAAGTATTTTTTTTTTTTTAAAGTGTATCTGGATCTCTTTTCCTTTAAAGTTTACCTCTAAAATTTAGATTTCTGACAGTAATTGATTTTCTGATAAGTAAGAGAAAGAATCAACTATGTGCTACATTTGTCACCTGTAATGACATCAGAGATGAAAGCTGCAAACCATACAAAGCTGTTTTGTGAACAGAGGGCTTGTCCTTCCCACACTTTGGGAGACAAAACCTTCTCTGACTATTCCTTTAGCATATTCACTCAACTGCCTGATGCAAGTGACTGAGTTAACACTACAGGAAACACTGGAAGGGAATTGAAAACGTAAAAGTTGGAGACAGAATATATAATCCAGCTTCATCTCCCCCATCAACTGCTTCCTTCTATATTAGTACTGCATTGCAGAGGCTTCATGTCCTTTGAACTCTCAGCAGAAATTTACCTTCAGTCATTTGCAAAAACTCTACAAATTAAAGAACACCTCTTTTCTGGGGCCTGGATAGTGGTATTAAAGTGTGACAGCATGGGTAAAAGTCACTAAGTTTTATTGGCCAAATATGGAAAAAGCATTTGAACTTCCAAGCAACTGCAAGCGAAGCAAATGTAGCTCATAGGTTAGAGACAAGAAGCTGACACTATCAATTCTCATACCACAATATCCATGAGTAATGTGGCAGAAAATGAGATTATTTGATGTTATGCCTGCTCCACGTGTGTTCTTAAAAAAAAAAAAAATGCTGGCCCACCATAAAGAAGTGTACTAGTATCATTCCTGCAGCTGCAAAACACATGAAGCCACAGAGCAGTATTTTATTCTGAAGGCTGGCAGACTTTTAAAGAAATCATTTGATATCAAAAAATAAATACATTTACATAGTGGGTTTCTGGCATCTGGATCTAAAAAGGCAACTGGCAGTTATAATGGAAGGATGGAGTCCTGTCAATTTCTCTTCTCCCACTGCTGTAGTTGGGAAGTCTCAGTGCACCCCTTCCAATTCCAAACAAGCCACGTGCGATAGGTCACAAACGCCACTGAGAACAGCTGCTCGACATTCGTGTAACTGGTGACTTTTAAAGTATTCTGGGACAAAGCAGCAGAGCATTGTTCCAAAAGCCCCCAACAGCAATTACACTGTGCAGACAGTATAAACAGGAAAATGTTTGATTGCACATAAATCAGGTTTTTTGAAAACCCATACCCCACCCCCACACATCATTTCACCCAATGGTGATCAAAAGCAGGCCTGGAATTCTTAAGCTATGATGTCTGTATATGCCCCAAGCACTTCCAAAAAAAAAGAAAAAGAAAAAAAAGAAAAGAAAAAAAAAGGAAAATGCAAGGAAAAAAAATAGGAAATACTTCAGTACCTTACTGTGTCTAAGCTCCACATCTTCTTCCCCATAATCTGTAACCTCCCCAGCTTCTTCTACGTGATTGAGAGAGAGTTTGGGGATTTTAATTTTCTTCTGCATCACACTGTTCTCAAGGTCAGTTTTGTCCTCTAAAATGTATATTAAAAATAAAATTTTGTTAAATTAATCAGTGTTCTTACTTCCAAAGAGTACATGACTTAGGCAAGACCAGTTAAAAAAACTTCCCATGCTGCCATTCCCTCATAATACTATGATCAAATTAATCCATGGTGTAACTCAACTGATGCCCATGGGCAATTCTAGAGTTCCAAAGGGGATCAATCTGGCCAAATACAAGAATAAATACCGTAAAATGCCAAGCTAAATTCATGTGAGTTATCAAATAAGTAGCTTGCACTATCACTAAAATAAGAGTTAAAGATGCTGTAAATAAAACAACTTTCTAAAAATCATCTGTATTGCTTTAAATTATGGTTACCAACAGTATTTTCATATTCATAATCTGTTGCTGCAGTTCAAACTCTGCTTTGGTTTAAAGTGAAAATAAACTTGGTAATTCATCCTACACTCTAACTATCATCTGCCAGCAGTACAGATCTATTTGCACACACGGCAGATTCTGCTGTTCTGCAGAGCGCAGAGCTGGAAAAGGGGATGCTGCAGGATAGGTTGAAAGGGCATTACAGAAAAGTTGCATATGGACCAAATCTGTGAGTAAATTACCATATGACCCCTATTTCATTAGTTAATGGTACTCATCCTTTTCCTTTAGATAACCATTTATTGTCTTTGTGTATCTTAACCTTTAGATCTCATTAAAAAATGAAGTAAAATATTTTAAAGTCTGAAACGTTCTAATATAACTAAAAATAAAGTATTTCAAAACATTCTTCTGAAAATAAGTTTGAAATATTTTAATATTCCTGAAAAGGTGCAGAGGGGACAGGGAATCAAGAGTATAGTCTCCCAAAAAGTGCCCGTGATCCGTAAAATTCTAGCAGAGTAGACAAGGTCTTTAAAGATTCACAAGCCTGGCTACCTGTTCAAGACACTGACAAGGAGAAATGCATTTAAACTCTGAAGTGTTGTCTTTGTACCCTGAAAGCTTATGAATAAGAAAATATTTTGAGTCTTCTCATCCACCTGCAAACTGTATTTCACAAAGTGTCCCATGAATATTTTTGAAAGTGCCAACGAGGATGGCACTTGTGAGCGCTTAGTTGCACTGACTTTTTCTTTCTCAAATTAGCATCTCTCCACAGGACCTCAAAATGGTTAGTGTTGACAGTGTAGAAAAGGGAAACAAAGGTAAATCACTGTTTAATGAGGAGCACGGCATTCATTAGAAATGAATTACACAGATGAATGCTATTCATTTTGTTACAGATAGAAACAGATCTCTTGTAGGCAACTGGTGATATTACAGCCCAAGGCTGTGTAAAGAGAATAGGCACAGAACATGCAGAATAAGACATTAGACAACCTGAAATGAAATGCAGATGGTAGCAATAAATACTAAGACAGATGCAAAAAGAAACAGATAAACAACAAAAAACAGCTAGGCTTATTTTAGATCATTCTCCATTCCCCAGAGCATCATGGATGCTTATCCCAGTAAAACAAAAAGGCAATCCAACTGTTTCAGTTTTGAAAAATAAACCCCTACGTTTTCACTTATCTGGAAAATGTAGGTTCATCAGAAAAGCAAGATAACTCACTTCTACTGTCAGAGAGCAAAGAAGAAAATAAGAGAGCCCTTCTTAAAAAAAAAATAAAAAAAAATTACAGACTAAAGGACAGACTGATGGGTATTGGTATCTTTTAGGAAAGACAGAAGTTTAAGAATAAATAAATCCATATTGAATTAAAAAAAACCAAACCCCACAACTTTGATTATATATTTTGGATATCTGATAGACTGAGGAATCCTTTGCTAAAGTACATACTCACAGCTCCTTAGAGGAAGAGCAGTACATGCATACTGCAAAGCCAGCTTCCATAGACTGCTTTGCCAAATCATCTTCCACACAACGTGCAGATGAACTCCTTCTACATCTAAAGAATGCAGACGAGTTTCTATGTTCCAACATAACCCTTGGCCTCACAGCAAGATGGACACAATCCAATTACTTCACATAGCTGCAAAAATTGTCGGCTGGCAACTAGCAGAGGTCACCAGTAGCCAGAACCCCATGCAAACTGGGAGCGGACACTTGCCGCCCTTCCTGTGGCCAGGGAAAAGCAAGTCTTGAAACACTCATGGGAAGGGGTCACAGAGGAGTAAGTGCATGTGCAGACTACAGTGGAAGTCAGCAAATACTTTCCAATGAATAAAACAACATTAAAACAAAAACAATTGGGAAGAACAGAAATATTTATCTTTTGATTTTGGCTTTTTAAATTAATTTATAAAGGTTAAGAACACATTTGATGCACTGAACAAGAGAAATGAAAGAAAATGCTTAGTTCGGGGTCAGCTAAAACAATGCAAATTATTTGAATTCTTCATTCTCTCCACTCCCTTCCCAATTTCTCAGTTTTCCTACGAAATCTGTGTTTGCAAAAACTTCACTGGTGGACTGAAGGCAAAAGTTTATTCATTTACCCCCTTACAAATGGTTAGTATATACATTATTGGTGTGTAACTATCAACACTGTTCTCTTTCACATTTGGCAAATCTTTTCATTTCATGTTTTGATTTTACTGCTTCTCCTGTAAATTAATCGGTACATTGAAGAAAGGAACTCTTTCTCCCTACATAAAATTTGAAGAAACAATGGTGAAAATGAGTTTATAGAAGTTAAAGCTCAAGAATTTTTAATTTAATCAACAAGAAAATAATTTTAAGTTCCTCTGCCTTCCAATAACAATACGTATAATATTTTCTTACATATACTCTGGTCTTTGTAGGTCTATTTATACCTAACACAGTTCATCTAGTGTGTTAGATATAAAAAGGTCTTTTGTTTTTCTTTTTCTTTTATTTTTTTTTTTAAGTGCATTTCTAACCTCTGTTGTCTTCTACATTAGCTGCAGATAGAGCCAGAAAAATCTCACTCTGAATTTGAGGCTAATGCTGGAGTGCTGGCTCTTGTTCTGTAAATATTAATGGAATTTGGGAAGGGGTGGGAGGGAGGGAGACAAGGGGGAAGGGTAAGAGAAACATGAATGTGCATATAGAGCAGTTTTTCTTAAGTCTCTCTGTCTGCTGTTGTGCAAGCCTACAAAAGACAGGTAAAAAGGAAGAATACAGCAAAAAGCAAAACGTGCACGATTTTGAGCCAGAAGAAAGCCAGGATACGAACCAAATGGCTGGGCACACTGCAATTGGGTGCCTGAAGCTACAGAACATGCTGAGAGAGAAAAGGGCAGCCCCAGAAATGTTGTAGCTCAGAGCCTCGTTTTGTAATGACCCAAATCATTTGTCTAGACTTTGTCCCCAGTGATTTAAACCTTTCTATAAGTTAAAAATTATCTCTTCCCTTAGGTGGCTGTGATCAGATTGTCATAAAGTTGTGTCTACTGTTTTTCCTGTACATGGAATAAGTGGTTCAGCGATACCGGCTACTGAGAACTAGCACTTAACACACCTAATTAGGGGCTTGTGAAAAAATAGGCAGGGTAGAAGCACAATACAAGAATGGACAATACTGATGCCCTCTCTGCTTTAAGAAGGGACATTCTGCAAGACACATGTAAATTAGGAAAAATTGCTTTGTGCACAGTAGCCATAATGGCAGACAGAGAACGTGACGTTCTGTGATTCAATACACAGAATAAAGCATGCTGGGGTAACGGTACTCCAGGAAAAGGTCAGACCTGGTGAGAGCTTGCCAGTCAACCCCACAAGGTACTGAAGTACAGGGCTCAAGAGTCAGTACACATAACAGCATCCCTCCCCTCACAGCCATCTACCAAAGCTGTTTGGGTAGCAAGAAGAAAGTGAACTGCTGAGAAATTTCATTTGGCCTCAGCAGTGCTGCAAGAAAAGCCAAAAAAGCAATCCTGCACTAGAGAATCTGTAGCAACTAGCAAAGGATAAACTGTTCCTGGAAAGTTTTCAGTCAGGCCTTCCTTTCAGTGTCAGGATGGGTGGATCCAGGCCAAAAAGTAATAGCTTTAAGTCTAGAGCGGCAGGGAGCTGAGACAGACAAAGCGACTTTAACAGGGCAGGAAGCGAGTTGGTTAAATTTAAGTAGAAATATGTTAGTGCTCTAAAATTAAAAACCCTACCATGGGATGTAGAATCAAACTATGGAAATCTCTAAGTCTCCTTAAAACATTCCTTACTTTCTAATTTAGAAGTAAGGACTGAACTAACTAATCCTTTCAAAAACAGTTCAAATGCTGATCTATTTATTTTTTTCTCCACCTTTATAGTAAAAGCTGGAAAAATAGAGGAAAAGAGCTCTGCACTCCAAATGGGTAAGGATGGCAGGTCTGGGATCAGTCCAAATAAGGGGCTTGGCAATGCTATAAATCTTACAGTAATAAAACAAAAGAACCATGAGCAAAATTTGTCCTTCCCCTAAGCCTTCAAAAAAATTCCACCCCTTGTGAAAAATGATATACTGACAGATGAAAAAATTTACCACCACCCTTCCAATTTCCAGGCATACACCCAACACATATGGACAACACCTGTACAAGATTCCCCCCACACTGCTGCACTGAACTGCTTTGCTACTGATTTAGCCAGGTTGCTTCCAGAGAGTAGAGGACATCACCTGCCTTGGCAGGTTGTGCATCAGTTACAGTTCATAAAGTAAAAGACATTTAAGAACCAAAACAAAAGTATACTTGGTGCTTCAAAACAAATACACACACCAAACATGAAAGGGCATGGATTCCTATGTGCCACTTAAATACAAATAAACAATAATCAATATTGTTGTGACTGAGAAGGAAAATACCATAATAGAACACACACACACACACACACAACCACCCCAAATCCAAGCCAGCAAGTCTATTTTAAACTCGAAAAAAAGAATAATTAATTACTTTCTAATATAATGCAAACAGTAAAGGAGAACTTTAACAGAAGAGATTTCAGAAAATTTAATGATCTTGTAGGCTCTGAAGATATTCAGGGTATAGAGGAAGAAAAACTATTCTCATAA